GAATTTCTCCTCCTGGAAGGTGTTAACCTGTGTTAGTGGTCTGTCTCTGGCTGTAAGAAGCTTGGAGTGGATCATGACTGTAATCCCAAAGTAGACATTGGACAGTGTATTTTCAGATGTGTAACCCATGTCAAAGAAAGCCAGTGGCTCAGCAGTAATGTTGTGTCTGTGCTGACAACCAGCAGGTCCTCTCTGTGCTGGTGGCCTTCCCCTACCTGCATCTCATCGTCTGGTTCCTCTGCACAGTGCTTTCCCTTTCCCCTACCCCTCATTTTGTACACGTTATGAGGGATTGCATTTCAATGTCAGTATTTTGAAAGGGTATGGGTTATCTGAGGTGCAGCCTGGATGTGCAAAGATACGATGGCCATAGCACAGTAGATGGCCAGGCTGGGTTGGCTGTGAAAGCACTCTGCCGATGCCTGCTCTTTAGGTATTTTCAGCTATGCACCAAAGACTCTTCAGTCACGGAGGGCAGGAAGAGAACCTGGGTTATTGTAGGGGTATTTCACGTGGGAAGATTTATGCACCAGGGGCAAAGGACAGATGGGTGATTCTCCTGCAGAAGGAGAAGAGCCTTTGAGGTGCTTCTGGCTGCGCCAGGGAGTAGAAGCTCGAGAACAGCTAAGTGCCTGTGCTTCCTCTCTTGTTCTGTTTTTCAGTGTTTTACCAGCATCGATCTGACACTCAATAACTAAACTGAAAGAGAGGAGACTGAGATGAGCTCTTAGGCAGAAGCTCTTCCCTGTGAGGGTGCTGAGGCGCTGGCACAGGGTGCCCAGAGAAGCTGTGGCTGCCCCATCCCTGGCAGTGTTCAAGGCCAGGTTGGACACAGGGGCTTGGAGCAAGCTGCTCTAGTGGAAGGGGTCCCTGCCCGTGGCCGGGGTTGGAGCTGGAAGAGCTTTAAGGTCCCTTCCAGCCCAAACCATTCCCTGATCTTTGGCTAACAGGGGTTTGTACCAGTGTACATGAGAGCACATCCTAGGCCTGGCAGACTGGATCCTTTCTCTCCTTGCTTTTGGATCAGGCTCTTTGAGTTTGGCTGCACTCAGCCTGGTAGCAGGCTGTAAATAGCAGGCTTGACTGCTGCTTTTTATTTATCCTTATTAAGTTCATCAGATGAAGCTAGAGCATCCTGGGGCCATCCAAAGCTTCCTGGAGGGGGTACTCTCACAGGCAGATGTGGCTCCTGGAGAGGCAGACATGTGTCTCCGGGAGGCAGACTTGGATCACTCCTTTTGGACTATGTGGTTGTAAGAGCATTTTCTTACAATACATTTCCTTGGGGGAATCAGATGGACTTAGATCTCGGATACCATCCCCACTAAGTGATACAGTAAAAATAACCTATTATTCTCTGGTTCTGACCTGGGCGGTGACAACATATTGTTTCAGCATCTCTGTCAGACTATTTCCCTTAAGAGCCATTTTAACCTCACCCAGTGGGACATAACTAAAGGAAATGAAACTCCAACCCCATTAAGGAAAAAGACAATGCCTTTCACTAAACAAACTTTATTTTCTTGGCTTTTCTTCACCAAGGAGAATCGCCCGTACCCCCCACCCTTGCAGCCTTTGTAGACAGTTCCTGTAATTGGGAATGGCTGGGTGGACACCAATGGCTGGCAGCAAAGGGGGATAAATCCGACATCCCTTGAACGTGACATGGGCTGGGACCGCAGTCCCAGGTGGCCACTTAGCGACAATTCCTATGGTACTGGTGGACGGTACGTGCCTGCCAGCCACAGCGGCCGCTCCTTGGAGCACAGCTGGGACTTCAGCAAGACTAGATAAGGGACACACAGGTGTCCTTGTGATGTTCTACAGGCCTTGGGTAGTTACTGTACTGTGCCCTGCCAGTGAGAGCTGCTGGCTTGCAGTGAAGTAGTGGTGGGCCATCTCCTGCCACCCGTGTGGTGAAACGGCCGCCCCAAAAGCAAGCACGACCTTGAGGGTTTGCAGTTTGTGGGCTAAAGGAAAGATCATGATTCAAGATAATAATTGACCTTGAACTTGTGGCTGCCCCATCCCTGGCAGTGCTCAAGGCCAGGTTGGACACAGGGGCTTGGAGCAAGCTGCTCTAGTGGAAGGTGTCCCTGCCCGTGGCAGGGGTTGGAGCTGGATGAGCTTTAAGGTCCCTTCCAACCCAAACCAGTCTGGGATTGCGTGATCTTCACACTTCAGCTAAGGCAGAAAACAAATTTGCACTCGGTAATTAGGTTTTCAAGCATGGCCGTTAATTTGGGGGTGTCTTAAGGCAAATTAGAAATCCCTTTTTAACATGCAGCCCCACACAGTGATGGGGTAGGAGTCTGAAAAGGCACCGTTTCCCACTGTGCGTGCGGGTAATGAGGACAAACCCCAGGGTGATCACCCTGTCCCCTCGTTAGGGTTTACAGAACGCAATCCATCGGTCAGGCTTGCAGAGCCTGAGTAGAACTGAGTCACACTTGGGTCAGGGTAAATCCGCAGGCAAGAAGATTAGAGCTGGCAGGGAAAGAAAGAGCTCTGTGTCGCAGGATAAAAGCAGGTTGCACAAAGCTGCAATCCTGGAAGGGTTTTTAATCCTGGACGTGGCCAATGCCTTTAGGTCCCCTCGGGTTTCTGACACAAAGGTAGCCCGTGTGCCCCTTGCGCTGGTTTGGGGTATTTCCAGTATCAGTCCCCATGGGGAGCAGTTAAGCCCCTATTTCCAACCCCAATCCTGCAGGGATCTATAAATCTATGTATTTCTGTGCCCTGTTAAGCAGGTTTATGGCTGTCCCAGCAGTTCACTGCAAAATCATCTGAAAACAAGAGCCCACCCTAAGCTGTAGGTGTGAGTTACTCTCTCCTTCGCACACTTTCTTCCTCTGTTGATAAGTGTTTCAATAACCCGTGTTGAGCAGCTTCCATGAGTGACAGTCTGAATGCCCTCCATACCTCAGCCCAGAATAGCCTGTTGCCTGATGGTTATGACATTCTCAGATATGGATTCGAGCAGCACAAATGGCAAAAGGAGGTGAAATTGGGCTTTCTCCATGCCTGGTTGTAGTGAGAGCAGGACGTCAGCCACCTTGTAGGTACTCTTTGAAGAAAAGCAGTTGCACCTCCTTACTTTTTCTTCTCCCTCAAGAGATGACAGGGGATGATGCAGGGGCTTGGAGTGACATGTGGATGTCCCAGGGAGGTTTAATGGTACTGTGAATCCCTCTTGGATGCAACTCCATGCATCTCCATGCATGATGCTAGGAGCACAGGATAGCTATTGTGAATTAATTCCCCAAAGCAACTGCGTGCTTGAAGGCTGCTACAGAGCTGGCCTGACCATATTTATTCAGTAATTACACTACTTCATCTCATACCATGACTAACAGCAACCAATAGGAAATACTTTAGGGGGTGGTGATGATCCATCACCCTTCGATTAACTTTCTCCTCCTATGAGCTCTCTCTGCTGTTGGCCAGGGGGTATTGCAGTTGCTCACATCCCCTCTGTGCAGCCAGCAGTGGCCTGTTTTATAGAGCAGAAAGTCATAATGATAAGCACAGTGAAGATTACGGTCCCGTTGTAGGTCATGGGCTGCTAGGTGACTGCGGTCTCAATACCTGCTTTGCAGGGGCCACCAGCATGTCAGTGGGATGAATCTGGAGGTGCTGTGGCTGGTAGAAATGTTCACTTTCTGGAGCTTTCTGCAGTGGATGGAAAGAGCTGTGGGTACAGTGATGCATATCTGTCCCAAAACCATGTTTGGGTTATAAACTTCCTTCAGAGCTAATGTCCACTCTGGTTTCAGGTCACTGCCACAAGCTAAATCAGGTTAGAGAGCACACCCAGCAAGCAGGTACAAGAGGCTGGCAGCTATCAAAGGGGATAATCTGTAGCATGATGTTTTTATGGCTGTGCACCCATAGCAACACATACAAGTAGGGAATGGTTGTGGTCTGGAATGAACTTGTTGGTTTGCTTGGTTCTGGTGAAAATTCCACTTGCTTTTCAGTAGCAAAACACTGTGCAAAAAATAACTGGTCAGATCCAGCTAAAGTCACTGGAGTTAAGTGGGGGAAGAACTGGCCTCATATGCCTGAGATCTGAGCTGATCTGAGCTAACATAAAAGCTACAAGTTGTTCCTGATTTGTTTTCATTAGGAAATCCTGGGTATAAAGGCACTTGTTAGAGCAGTTCTTGCAGTTCTTATTTTTCCACAGTCTGTGATTTTTGAACATCATAAACTATATATAAATTCTAAACCCAGCCTTGATTTACTATGCTTTGGGGTTTGCATCAGGTGACTCGTGCCAGCGACTTCTTAATTTAACTAAGGATCCATCATTCTTGGCAAACAGTTCAATCGCAGAGTGTGTAGAAGACAATAATTGAATATAAAGGTTTATTTTTGTCCCTTTATTGATGTCAAGGGAAAACAGTGCAGTTATGAAAATGGAATAAACTGAAAAGATTCCTTCAGTTCCTGCAGGTTGATTAGAACAAATGGCTTTCCATTCCAGTTTTTATGAATGTATAGTTTTCTGAAAGCTTTATAATACTTCAGGGAAAGGAAATTGCAGGCAATAAATGATACAGGATGGTTCAGGTTATTGGGAACTAGAGGAATGGGTTTTATCTGGAAAGGTGAGATTTACTGTTCTGCTGTATTTCACTTAAATGTTTGAGAAGGAATCAGATGCCATGATTTGTACCTTATGACGGGCATGGAAACAGCATGAGAGTGCTCAGTAGCACCAGTTGCCGATGCAGTGTGCAGCCTTTGTATACCTATTCTCTGCAGGCAGCAGGTAGGCAGTAGTGTCAAACCTTTGCTATCCCCTACACTGCACTGGCATCAAAGAGGTGACCACAGAGTCCAGGGGTGGTTTTTCTCTTCTTGGTCAGCAGAATGTCTTTTCATATCTCAGCTTGATAACCAGCACTGGTTGAACAGTTCTTGCAGTGCTAGAGCTTTACCAGTAAATGCTGTTTAACAAAACCAGGGTGTTTTTTATCTTCTTTTCTATGTAGAAAGCAGAAATATGGCAACAAAGGAAAAGCTTCAGTGCTTGAAAGACTTCCACAAGGATATCCTCAAACCCTCCCCTGGCAAGAGCCCGGGGACACGGCCTGAGGATGAGGCCGAAGGAAAGCCACCCCAGAGGGAGAAGTGGGCGAGCAAGATCGACTTCCTGCTGTCTGTGGCTGGGGGCTTCATTGGCTTAGGCAATGTCTGGCGGTTCCCGTATCTCTGCTACAAAAACGGCGGAGGTGAGTGTTCCTGGATTTCATTCTCATGAATCAATCCATCTGCCTTATCCTTAAACATTCCCACATCTGTTTCCTGCCTTTTTCGCCAGTCTTCAGGAGAGGCTGCACCAGGGCAGGTTTAGATGGAGCTGAGGAACAATTCCTTCCCAGAAGGGTGCTCAGGCATTGGACCAGGCTGCCCAGGGCAGGGCTGGAATCACTGTCCATGGAAGCATTCACAAACCCCATAGACGAGGCCCTCAGTGCCATGGGTTAGTGGTGGCCTTGGCAGTGCTGGGGAACGGTTGGACTGGATGATCTTAAAGGTCTTTTCCAACCCAGTTGATTCTGTGATTACTTACTAGTTTTTGTTAAAAATTAATTAGGGAAAACCAAAAGCAATCTCAAATGTTGTACTGCTGAGCCTTCTCCGCTCTGTTACTTCTGCTGCTACCGAGTCTGAGTTTTAACCTAAAGATAGGCTGTTGATACAGACCAGTAGGATTGCAGACCAGTGGCTATCAGAACAAGAGCATTCTGAGCCACATGAAACTGCCACGTGCCTAACCCCATCGTTACAGCAGATTTTCCCTTCACAAAGGTGAGAAAATGCCCTTTCCAGACATATACACCCATTCGTCTTGCAGAGAATGTGAACAAAATACCCCAGAATGAGATTCTTATATACTGATATTAAAGTATGAAATGTTCTTTTGTGTATATACGCCTGTTGCCAGTTTTTAGATGATCTTGTGTGCGTTCTCTTCCTTCATCTCAATTTTCTATATTGTATTTTCTCAACAGGTGCATTTCTTATACCTTATTTCATTTTCCTGTTTGGGGGAGGTCTTCCCGTGTTTTTCCTGGAGGTGGTGCTAGGACAGTATACCTCTGAAGGTGGAATCACATGCTGGGAAAAGATCTGCCCTATTTTCACTGGTTAGTATATCCTGTTGTGCTTTCCTGCTTCAAGACACCTCTGTAAAACATGTGCAGCAACGCTTTTCCCCTCACGTCCATTAGTTCAGCTATTTGCTGTAGTAACTGAGGGTATGATATTGGTTCCTGGAAAGGTAGAAGTCAGAGAGTCTGAAGGACAAAGTAAGGTATTGATTCTGATGTTATCATCTTGTTAACTGGCAGAACTGCTGATAAGCAAGAAAGAAATTGTATATTGTGCCTTAAAAAGGCAAATGCATGTTTTGTTCACACATATCAGAGAAAGTGTTGGTTTGGGAGGCTGGGTGGCATTCATGAAAGCATCTTCAAAGTATTATACTGGGCTAGAAATCAAAATCCCTCTGCCACGTGAAACCTTGCCATTGGCATCATCCTTCTGTTACTGATACAGCCAAAACCTGGGCAGCATTTTTTGATAGGATTGAGGAACAGGACTTTTGTCCTAACTGAGCATGGATAAAAAGGCATGTTGGTTGATGGTATTGAAGAACCTTTGCCAGTGAGTGAAGAACCACTGGCCACTCACAGGAATTATAGGAATGCTGCTCTGGAAGTTAACTAAGGTGAAAAATAGAAGACAGGTTAGAAACATTACTGAAGATGCCTCTCTTGTGTATAGATTACCCTGCACAGCCAGACAGCACAGGCAGAGTCATTTGGAATAATTGCACTAAGCAGCGCTCCTCAAATCCCATTTGGAAAGAGTGGGCACTTCACACTGACGTGTCTCCTGCACTCCCACCACTGCTGTTCCAGGCATCTCTCCCCTCATGTCACCCCAAGCTGAAGTGAGGGCTTTCTCTGTGGCTCACACTCCCACCTAATGCTCAGAACGCTGCTGAAGTTGATGTAATGGTGCTGCTTTAGCTCCATTTTCTTCCTCCTCCTCCCACTTTATTTTTGAGGAGGAGGAAGGAATGTTCCTTTTATAAATTGCAATCTCCTAGGCATCCGTGAAGAGAAGTTGCAGCTCTGATAACGTGACTAGCTATATATCCTGAATGAAATGAAGCTCTACAGAATAAATAGCACTTGCTCTGCTTACTTTTACCTGGCATAAAAATAATCTCCGGTGGTAAAATCCCTGCTGCAATAAGGTTTGAAACTGTAAAACATGAGGCAGGTATCCTGAGTGCTGGGGTAGCCATCAGAGTGGTGGTAAAGGGAACTTCATGGGCTTTTCGTCCTCTTGTAAGAGACTGCTCTAAGATTTTTAAGGAAATCTGTTTTTTTCCCTGGTTATTCCTAAGTGGCAAACTTTGTAAGCAGAGTTAAACATTGATGTAATTAACCATAACAGCCACACATATCGTGCTTCCCTTGCACAAGTGAAATCGGGGCTGAAGCAGCAGCTTTCGCATTGATATCTTTGGAATTTTCCTTTTCAGCTCATTCAAGAACTGTCTTTTTTTGTTGTTTTCCTTTGCACATAGGCTGAGCTGAGCCAGTCCATAAGTGTGAGTGGTGCAGGGGCTGCCCAGCTGAGCTGCCTCCAAGGAAGCTGGCCTGGGAATCAGTGTGGTGAGAATGAGGTTGCCCACGTAGGTACCTAAGAAGTGAGATGATGTAGCTCCAAATAAGCAAAGTGTGATGCTTTGAATTTCTTCTACTAAGACTTGAAATAGTCTTAGTAGACTAATCCAGTCGTAGTGGGGTAGTGCTAAATTGGGTAGACACCCTGCAGACCTTCTCTCCAGTGTCAGCAAACCACAGCCAGAAACTCAGCCCTAGGTGCCAGTGCTCGTCAGAGATGGTGGCAGGTCTGTGCTTTTGTGTGATTGAGTTGAGTTGAGTTCAGTTTAGTTTAGGCGAGTTGTGTTGAGTTGAGCTGTGTTGAGTTTCCATCAGCAGTGTGGTAGAGCAGGATTCATCAAGTCGAAACAATGGGAATAGCACCAGCTCCACAAGATCACAAGGTGCCCTAGCAAGAAGTGGCTGTCACGTCTGCATGTATTTCTCTTCTCTCCTCCTCTCGCCAGGAATTGGTTATGCTTCCATAGTGATTGTGTCCCTTCTGAATGTGTACTACATCGTGATCCTGGCCTGGGGACTCTACTACCTGTTCCAGTCGTTCCAGAGCGTCCTGCCATGGGCACACTGCCACCAGAAGTGGAACACACCAACCTGCGTGGAAGACACTCTCAGGAAGAACAAGACACTCTGGATATCACTGAATGCCACTAACTTCACCTCTCCTGTCACAGAGTTTTGGGAGTAAGTACCCTCTCTTCGTGGTGTCTTCTGAGTGCTTTGGTGGCATGCCAGAGGTCAGGCTTGAGATTGTATAGAAGCCCAGTGGGGAATGTTAGATAGGAAAAGAAAGTTGCTCTGGGTGTCAGTTTGGCTGGTTCTCACCCATCTTGAGATAGACTGGTAAGTCTGGGGGCTCTGGAGGAAGACATTAGATGTGTAACTGCATTCATCCTAGAGTGTAGAGGGAGCCCAAAAAGCCCGGTGCAACTCCTTGTTTGGAAGAAAACTTGTTTCCTTCTTAGTTGGGATTCTCTGAATGCAGCAGGAGAGCAGAAACAAGTCACTTCAGATGCCCTTAGAGCAGGGATTTACAACAGAAACAGTGACAAATCACCCCTTTTGTGGTTGCCTCTCCCTTTTCCCCAGCTGTCAGCATTTGCAGTACACTTTGTGAATGTATAACACATCTCTTGTCAGTCTGACAATGGTGCAAGGCACTGACCTCGGCCATAAAAGTGACAGAGGTGGTGAGCGTTGTCCTGCCCTGTAGGTTTCTCAGGTCATCTTGGTTGCATCATTTCCCTCTGCAGTCTCTGAGGGAGCTGTTTTGCCAGATGCCTGGATTTCATCAGGCCTAAGCTTCTTATTCCCATTTCTCTCTAATTTTTCAAGTTTTAAATTATCTTGCATAACCTGATTTCTGAACGGGCATGACCTCAAATCTCTGCGTGTTAATATAAGAGACAAAATATAGCATCAGAGGAAGCTGATGACCTGTAGGGAAACTTAAATCCAAAGGATCTACAAATAGCTTAGGAAGAATTTTAGGGGGTTTTGGCTTGCTCAGATGGTCAGCTCAGAGTAGATTTAGTTGCTGCCCCAGCTTGGCTTTTTCAGCATGTTTAAAGTCCAGTTTGGGCCCTGTTCAACTTGCACCTACTTCTCTATTTATAAAGAGAGGCGTCAGCCACTAGCCCCAGCAGGAATGATGTTCATGCTGAAGGTATTTGGCACGCATTAGGCTTAGAAAAAAAAAAGAATCTTATGAACTGTGGTAAAATTTGTTACACAAGAGCCAAAACACAAAGGGCAGATTGGATCTTGGGTGAGCAAAGGGCACTGGTGACCGGTGTGAGAGATGGGACGCAGGCTGTAAGAGCAGTTGTTTTTACCATGCCGTGAGCACTGTGTTTCCACGTCGAGCGACAGACGCTTTCCCAGGTCACTTCCTCCCTTGTAAATATGGAGGGAGCTGGAAGAAGCTTGTTAAATGGTTCCTTTGGATATTTTAGGGCAACTTAGAGACACGTTGCAGTAGAAGGAGAAGGAACTCTCACTCCTTTGTACTCTCCCGAAATAATTCTGGGACTGAGGGCCTTGAATACAAATGAGTGGCTGGCATGGGAGCATGTTCAGAGGTCTCCTCAAGGCCTCCCTAAGAAGCAGAGTCCCACAGAGCTGCCCCTGAAATAGAGTTTCTGTCCCAGGACTTCAGAAGCACCATGTTCAATGTCAGTCCTGTGCAGTGATTTTGCTCACAGGTCCTCTTGCACCTGACAGCAGCCATGATCTTAGCAGCCTCCTGATATGGCCATGGGGTTGTTTTGCTGCCCCGGGAGCTTCTGCTCCTGTAATGCTCAGGTTTATGGGCCAGGTTGTCTCCTTGGGGCCCTAAGTGGCATGTCCACTTCAGGAGACTGAAGGAAATATGGTTGGGAGGTGGAAAAGAGGTTGCAAAAGAATGAGTGGGGCCTCCAGGACCTTGGAGGACACCAGAGCTTTCCATGGGTAATTACACAGTGAGGGGCTTTATGGCAGAGCAGCCATCATGGGTTGGGAGGACAATGTCCCCATAGGGACATGTTAGGGCTAGAGGACAAATCCTTTGTCCAGCACTTACCCTTCCCTTCATCCTGCCTCGATGTTCTGCAGCAGAGCCGGAGCAAAGGTTGCTCAGCCATGAGCGGTTGTGGAGGCTCTCCTGGCACTTTGAAGCCACTTTAACTTGTGTCCTCAAATAACAGCTTTAAACATCATGAACTGAACTCTTCCCTGGAGTCATGCTAGGGAGGGGTTTGGCTCCGTTATCCTACTCGTACAGATATACTGTCCATAGCTCTGTTTCATCATGAGCAAAACTGCCCTTAACAGAGCAAGTTGCCTTCGGGACTCGTGGCACTTACAGGAGTATTAAAAATAGCTGTTCTCTCTGCATAAACAACTACTGATGTCTTAAAATAAGGATAGAGCTCAAGCAGCACTGTTGTATTTGAAGTAGCGTAGCTTTTACACAATGCAAGCGTTTGGTATCCCCAGGTTTTCCCCAGACATATACTGTTTGTTATAGTTCTGAAATTAAAACTAATTTCAGGTACTTTGCTATCAAAGTACACCACCAGCTGCCAGCCAGCTACCTACATTGAGAGGCCAGGTCAATAGAGAGTCTTTACCTGAAGATACCCATCTGCTTCATGGCACAATTAATTGTGATTTAATTCAGAGGTTTGGGAGTATTTGGTTTCTGAAAGCCAATGCCATTTTTTATTGTGGGGCATTTATGCAGTGTCCTCATCAGGATTGCTTTGTAAAGCTAACGCTGCCCAGATATAATTGGCTGCATTGATGCATTAACCTCTTCGTGTTGGATAACACGTGTCCCCAGCCTGGCTGGACGTATGGTGCAGCCTGACATTTCGGTTCATTTGAATTAATGTTCTGTGCAAATCACATGCTTGCTTGAGCAGCAATAAAAGGGTGTTAAGCAAATCTGGCTTTGTATCAGGAGACCTACCTCTTGGTATCACATGCTGCAGGTCTTATTTCTGAAGATTTGATTTTAAAGTCCAAAACCCGAAGGGTTTATACCCATATTAATACATAAGGGATAAGTGTTATGGGGGAATTATGGTTGAACAAAACCTCTGATTGTCTGGTGCTGGCCAAGTGTTTATAAATATTTAGTAATCAGCAGACTGCATTTGTCCAAATCCCAAGAAAGACCATCACATGCTGATGGCATGTAATCAGAGGGAGCAACCCGGAAAGTAAACAACATCTAGGGCGGCTGGCTCTGCTTTTGGGGGCAAACTTGAGGGTTTTACAAATCATATCATGTTGTCCTTGTGGTGGAATTGCTTCACTGTTAGTTATTCTTGCCCTTCCAACATGAAAGAGCGCTTTGGCTTTCCTGGTACTAAAGGTCCTGTCAGCATTCGCTTGATTAATGAGCTGGAATATCCTTCACGGATTGCATAACTCTCCTCATTTTATTTTTGTTTATCTAGAGCCAGTTACAGCTCTTATTACATCTCCATGTTGCACATCTCTGGAGCGTGCTAGTATATGAACAAGGTGGAAGAACTCATGTTTACAACAAACTCGGCCCCAGCCTGTTGTCCCGTTGATCATATATGAGTGATGGGTAATGACAGCATCAAGACTATAAATGAGAATTAGTAACAGCTTCATGCATAGGTGGTGTGAAGGCAGCTGAGTGGGCTCGGCTCAATCTGAGCACAGTGGGTTGTGTAACGAAGCTGCAGAGCTCTCAGCACAGCCCAGCTTGTGCTCCTTCCTCAGCTGCGGGTTTCAGGGTATCAGAGATCCAGGTCGAGAGCTTCTGCTGCAGAAATACATTGGGTCAGGTTGCATGAAACAGTTTGAACACTGAGGCTGCCCTGGTGATTCTGAGCTGATTCCTTGAGGTTGTGGGTGTTTGTGAGACGAGATGGGAACCATCGAGAGGCATGGAGCACCTCTGCTGTGAGGAGAGGCTGAGAGAGCTGGGCTGGTTCAGCCTGGAGAAGAGAAGGCTCTGGTGAGACCTTCTTGTGGCCTTTCAGTTCTTAAAAGTGGCCTGTACGAAAGATGGGAGAGACTTTTAGCAGGGCCTGTTGTCATAGGACGAGGGGTGGTGGTTTTAAACTAAAAGAGAGATTCAGGCTGGACATGAGGAAGGAATTTTTTTCAATGAGGTGGTAAAACAGTGGCACAGGCTGCCCAGAGAGGTGGTGGATGCCCCATCCCTGGGCACGTTCAAGGCCAGGCTGGATGTGGTTCTGGGCAACCTGATCTGGTGAAGGCGACCCTACTCATTGAAGGGGGGGTAAACTAGCTGAGCTTTGAAGGTCCCTTCCAACCCAACCCATTCTACAATAACCCAGGACAGAGAAAGCCAGCCCATCACTTTATGTGCTTGCTGCCTCATCGTAGTAGAGTAACATACCTGGCTCTAGAAACACACTGGGGTGCCCTCCAAAAAACCTTGAAGAGATTGTGGGCCACACTCTAGGTGAGATGACCACTTGCTTTTAGCTCCCTAATGAAAAACAAAGGCTTAGCTGAATGAATTAATAGAGCTTCCTATTCCAAAACACATTCGCAGTTCATTATTCCTGGCTTCCTGAGAGCCAGCTCTATAGGCTGCCTTTTAATATGAACTGCCCCTTGGAAAACTGCCATTTAGTTTTTAAAAAAGCCACAGAAGGTTGGAGCTGAACTTTGTCAGCTTCTAAATGTATTTTCTTCTTTTGTATATGCTCAGCAGGTTTTTCCCTGCTTGCTTTAGGCTCAGGTGAACCAGGACTGCAACTTTATGCCAAATATTCATTACTAAGGGGTTTCTTGTGGCTGTCAAATAGCTGTGCTATTAGGGCAGACTTAACCCTGGCTGGTGGCATTAGTCCTTTTCTATAACAAAATACACACATGCTCAGAGGGAATAAAGCATTCGGAGTGAGAACACATTCACGCAAGTAACCCAAGTGAATTTGGAAATGGGAGATGCAAAAACAGACGGGTGAGGGCTTGAGTCCCATTAAACTGGTCCATCCAGGGCTGGTTATTTTCCAAAACTAATTGCAGATATTCCAATGGTGACTTCATTTGCTGTGATCTCCACAGTAATAGCAAAAAAAAACCCTCAAAAAAGTTTAATTAATTCAGGGGGAAAACAAACCACAGTCATTTGTCTTGCATGGGATTCACATGCCACGTGTGAGCCTGACCCTGGTAGAGCAGCCCAGGATGCTGTGATCTCTGCTTTCCATGACTTAGGGGAAGGAAAGGAGCTGATTTTTTATAGCTGTCTGAAAACAAAGTTTAATGAACAATTTGTTAGGTAGCAACTTAAAATGAAAATGAAATTCTTTAAGAATAGTGAGGCCCTGGAGCAGGTTGCCCAAGGATGCTGTGGCTGCCCCATCCCTGGCAGTGTTCAAGGCCAGGTTGGACACAGGGGCTTGGAGCAAGCTGCTCTAGTAGAAGGTGTCCCTGCCCGTGGCAGGGGTTGGAGCTGGATGAGCTTTAAGGTCCCTTCTGAACCAAACCAGGCTGGGACTCTGTGATTTTATGAAATACTGTGCAATATATTGCACAAAAGAGTAGCACAGACCTAGGGAAGATGTAGGGCTGCAAAGCTCAGCTTTGCTCACGTAAGCCTTACTAACTGGTGACTTAGCAGGCAGCATTCAAAGGGCAGGGATCTCCCCCGCACCATCCTGCACTCTCAGCCATCAGAACTAGATTCTGCATCAGCTGAGCTCCTCCATCTCTCTTGTTTTGTTTCCTTTCAATTATTCAGGCGCAATGTACTGAGCTTGTCCTCGGGAATTGAAGATATTGGTATTATCAAGTGGGATCTAGCCCTGTGTCTTCTCCTCGTCTGGGTGATATGTTTCTTCTGCATTTGGAAAGGAGTCAAATCCACTGGGAAAGTAAGTGCTCTCTTACCTTTTTGTAGTCATTGCAGTTAGATGTTAAGAATACCAAGTAATGCTGTTCTTAAAAATGTTCCCTGCTTCCTGGAAAACAAGATGTATTTTTGCACTGAATAAAAGGGATTCAGCTTCAGCTGACTTTCAAAAGTCCTTGCCAGTGCCCGACATGCCTGTGAGTCAAGTAGCCATTACTGGAGTGGCATCAAGAAGCAGGTACAAGCAGGGTTTGAGTACCACTTTGCCTCTCTTAGGCTGGTGATGTGTGGTGCACTGCACTCCCTGCCTGCGCTCCCACATGGCCAAGTTCATCCTCAGTGCAGCAGGGTGGATGTCAACACAGCTGTGGCGGGGATGTTTGAAGTCAGTGGAAAGTGGTGGATGCATAGCATTTTTGGAATGCCACTCACTCACAGAAGAGCTCTGTGTAGACACGGAAGACTAAACTTAGGTACTCATTTAGAAGCATTCTTCTTAACGGAGATCCTGCATAGTTTGTGGTTTTGGTCTCATCGTGTGCTCTTCAGAATGATGTTTTTCTCTGAAGGATGACAAATCATCCCTGAACCTCATCCTGCTCCAGTGCAGGAAGCAAATTACAGCAAATACTGGCCATCAACATGAAGCATGATATTACTGCCCCTTATACAGTAGTGATTTTAAACCCGTTTTAATGAGAAAAAGCATTAGAAGCCATTGCATATGCATGGCTCTTAGCTTTCAAACCTCTTGGTTGAGGCAGCATTTCAGATGAGTCTAACAGAGGTAGAGGGGTCTCAAGATACTAAATTCCCACGCATTTCTTGTCATCTGGGTGGAAGGGAGTGACCTCATTAGTGTCCTACCTGACAAAAGGGTCACAATGTAAACCCAGCTTGTATCAGCCCCCAGAGAAACAAGGAGGGTGAGCAATTGCCAAAGCCTCAACTGTGGAAAAAGCATAATTTAGCAGGTTTTACCTCGTTATACACTGCAGAATCAACTAGGAGACAAAACTCTGTAGGAAAGCAGGCCTCATTAGTCCCACTGTTGACTAAACTACTTGCTTTACTGTCGCTCCTGTCTTGCTTTCGGTGATTTTTATCACGGAGCCTCATTAAAATCATGCTGGTGCCTTACACTGGATTCCCACCAGCTTTGCCCCAAAGAACAGCTTCCACACCTAGAAATTGATAAAAGTATTTGCTTCTCTGCTCTCTCTGATTGATGGGACCCGATGAGGTGATGGTGGAAGTTTTATAGTAAAGGTGTACATAATAAATCTCATTTATGCAGTACCTTTGGCAAGCCTGGTGTCTGCTCGGTAATGGTAGCACTGAGAGATGTTTCCAAGCTCCCTATGGTACAGGGTTTCAAGGCATTGTGAAGGTTGAAAACAGGCCTGTTAAAATCAGTTATCTAAAACTTGGTGTCTTCTGGAAATCCAGCAAAATGGCCTCATGTCTAAGACAGGACAAGTAGGAACTCACCGCAGGGTCTGAGCTCGTGCAAGTGTGGAGCCAAAGCCCAACAAAGCCATTGGGAAGTCTCCGGCTGACTCCATTAACTTTGGGGTCAAACAAAAGTAAACTGCAAACTCTAATGGAAGACTTGAATTATTTGGGCAGTCTCGTTTACTTTAGTGGATGGTTGTTTATAGCTCTTCCCTGCTTCCCAGCGTGTTAACGGCTCTTTGGAGAGCAGGGAGAAAAAGAAGATGACATAGTTTTAAATCCTGTAGTATCGTATTGGGCAAATAAACATGAAATCAGGAGTAATAAGTTGTGCTGTGCTTTGGATAATGTGCTTAAAAATTCCTCCAGTGTTCCAAGAGAATCCCAAAGGCTGCTTTCTGAGCATGGTTTACTCAGTTCTTGTAAGTATGTCAAGGCATATATGGTTTTTGTGAGAAAACTTGGATTTGAAAACAATGGGAAGCACAGAAATTCCCCTTTTGTCCTGATTTTGCTGAAACTGGGCAAATGTGTAATCTGTGTCATCTGTCAGTGGCAAATATACAGAAAATTGAAGGAATGAATGTATGAAAAGATTTCCTTTCTTTTCATGAAGCCAGTCCAGCTCTGTGAGTTATTCTGGCAATGCAGGCTTTGCGTTGTCTTCGTTATTCCCAGAGGACACACTTAAGAAGAAAAATGGAGCATCCCGGGAGCTCTGCTGTAGTTAAACAAATTCTGGGAAAGGAAAATACATTTTAACTCATGGCAGCCAACTGTAATTACCTGGGGGAATCATCTGACTCCATGAAAAATGCCCTTTCTTAGACAGCAGTGATTGCTGAGTGTAACACAGCAGTTAGGTAAGAAATGAGGGGAAGCACTGATGAGCAGAGAAAACAGAGGCTGGAAGGTGTGGGGCTCTAAAGATAGAACTATCCAAATGCAGGTTCAATTAAGCCTCCTCCTGGAGATTAAAGCAAAGGGGTCTTTCATCAAATGAATGAGAAGATAAGAAAAAGAGAAGAAGGAGGCTGTTATTCAAAAGAGTGGGAATAGAGGTTAAAGATAATGAAGACATATTCTCAAACTGGATGAATAGAGCCTTAGTTTCCAATAATGATGTTGCTGAATAGGCAGCAAAGGCAAGAATGAAGTTATGGGACTGGAAATTACCAATGTTGAGGCTAGTGCCAACCTGGAGGGCTTCATGTGTTCGAGGGGATGGGAAGGGAGACACAGGAGCACAGGCCAAGTTATCTTCGTCTCTGAATGAAGTGCCCTGTGAGGCTGCCTGTAGGAGCAGTAGGGAGGAGGCTGCACAGCCAGGTCAGAGGTAGCAGCAGAGCTTGCAAAACACTCCCAGTTTCTAAGTTCAAATAAAGAATGAGGTAATGGTCCATGCACCCTCAGTGAGGAAACCTCTGCAGCTTCCCTGGCAGAGGTGTGCTTGTCATGTGAGGAGGACAAAGAGGGCAAAGGCAGAATTTCTGATTAGAAGTCACGAGCTGGATGAAATCCTGCATGTTCTGTGTGTGAGTGATGTGACCACTGCCTGGGGGCTCTGGAGGGTTTAATGAACCTGCATTGCCTCCAGGCCTAAAGCAATAAGGAGGTAAAGACCATTAAACTAGAAGCAGACACAGACTCGGGTCAGGTCCTTTTTAGCTATGAATTCCCATCCCTAAATCACTTTTGGTTCTGGAGGGGTAGTGTTAACTACACCATACTAAACATCCCTTTTACGGTTTTTATTTCTAGGTAGTGTACATCACTGCCACGTTCCCGTTCATCATGCTCCTTGTTCTACTCATCCGTGGTGTGACCTTGCCTGGAGCTGCAGAAGGCATCAAGTTTTATCTTTACCCTGATATCTCACGGTTAGCTGACCCACAGGTACAGAACTAGGACTGGGGAGTGGGACAGTTTCCTGTGCAAAGGGGGATGGTGGAGGGTGATGGTGGTGATGTGATGGCAATAGATCTTTTTGCCACGGTCTTTAGAGGTCCAAATGTAGCGTGAACATTAATGCTGGGTTATATTTTCCAGAGATCTGCTTGAGAAGGTCACTGTTACATGTGTTAATGCATCTTTCCATGTGTACGTATGTGTGTGTATGCGTGTGTATTCTTTTTTGTGTCGAAGGACTCTGAGGCTGTAGACTCTGTCCCGTTATACAATCTCAGCTTTCTTGTTGGTAAGGTAAGGGAGATGCATTTTTTAAATGAGGATAGTCTTTAGTTTCAAAGGAGACACACGTGAGCTTCACAGATGGAACAGCAAGCGAAACTGTGAGTACCAGTGGCCCTTATCTCCCACTGCTCAATAGGAGGAGTTTGGGAAAGAAGTGAATGAAATAATAACAGAATGAAAACCAGTCCAGAGGGGGAGAAAAACGCTTTTTGAGGTACAAGAACTGCCCTTCGCTTAGTCCTGCCTAGTGGGAGCTGGGCTTCCTCTTTCTGTATAGGCTGTGATTAGATCAATTCCTGTCTGTGCTCACAGGGTGCAAATATGACACTTGAGCAGACCAGCATCATTTCAACCAGTAGTCATCATGTGAGGAATGCAAAACCAAATATGCAGTACCCCCCTAAAACAAAGAAAACAAGGAATCCTTAAAGATAACTGTTGGTTGCAGTGAGAGGGAATAAAGTCTGCCTTTGCTGTTTCTTTCTAATGAGTGTTTGGTTAAAATAAAACTCCAGTGACAACTAAGTAACTGAGCTAGGAAAAGTGTAATTGAAAGAAACGTTGTGGAAGTGTGGTTCATTCTCTAGTCTTGCCCTCTTTACACCAAACACCCTCTTCACAGGAGGCATTATATTTGATGAATGAAGCTTCTTTTACGGGACTGTTATTTTTATGATCTACTATTAGACCTAAGCCCAGAGCACCAGTCAATATTGCATAAGGGATTCATGGGAGCTGTTCAGGCCTCCTCCTGTGGTCTAGCAAAAGCATCATCTCCAGTCAGCAAGGTGCTGGAAAGGGATGGTGGGAGGGAGGAGGTGATACTCTACAGCTTAATTCTCACTTCCTTGGACTCCTGGTGGTTCCTCCTGGTATTTGCAGACTTGCATTAGCAGGAAGAAGAGAACAGATGGGATTCGCTGCATGTATTCTGGTAGCTTGCTATGTATTTACTGAGAAGTTGATAGTGTCCTGTTATTTCACTCTGTAGATGTTTTCTTAATGTAATCAGGAGAAAGAGTCATGAGGCCAAGATGAGATACGTATCTTATAAAACGCATTGTATTTTGCTTGTTTTCCCCCCACCCCTAAGGCTTTTTATCTTGCATTTAAACAGGTACAAAAACAACCAGAAAGCTAGAAAAATAAACCAACCCAATACACAAACCCATTTCTCAAGCTTTTCACATCCTCAGCTTAGTGACTGTGTCAGCTGGTTCTAACTGAAATGACTTACCATGGAAATGAGCAATGTTAGAAGTACTTTTGCATTTCCTATTGCACTGAAACACGTTCATTGTTGCGCCAACAGGAAGGATCAGCTGAATGACTTAAGAAACCCGAAATACTGAGCATCTCTGGGGAGGGGATAGAGGAACTGTTGTAGAGGTGATGTTCTTGTGGGCTCTGATGCTAACGATTTTCTTTTCCCTGTAAAAGCCAAACTTGTAAATGTGATGTTCTCTTTCCCTCTCTTCCTGATCCTTTAGCTATCACCCTCAATGGAAGCAATCATAGTGTTGATCTTTGCATAGTTTGAACTGTTTGTGTTGAGTGCTGCAATGCAACAATGCCGGTAATAACAGTCTTTCCATCTTTCCCTTTAGGTCTGGATAGATGCAGGGACACAAATCTTCTTCTCATATGCAATCTGCTTAGGAGCAATGACTTCCCTGGGGAGCTACAACAAATACAAATACAACTGCTATAGGCAAGTTTCCATCCAAGGGGGTTTAGTGTTTTAGCTAAATGATGTAAATAAAGTAGGGACAATGGGTTAATTTTTTTTTAATTAACTTGCTCCATGACATATGTGTGACTTAGGGACTGTTTGCTGCTGGGATGCCTGAACAGTGGTACCAGTTTTGTGTCTGGCTTCGCAATTTTTTCCGTCCTGGGCTTCATGGCACAAGAGCAAGGGGTGAACATTGCTGATGTGGCAGAGTCAGGTACGATGGTGTTGGTGGCAGTGGTGGTGGGCACTGCCGCCTAGCGTGTGAGCAAAGTCCTGCAGACTCAATCAGCTAACATCTAAGCAATAAAAAAACCACAACAGAAAAAGATTTCCCATAATCTCCAGAAGTAAAAGAAGCACATGGTTGATTTGGGCTTGGCTCTAGAGCAGTGAGGGTTAGCCGGGGTTGAATGCTTTACTCTGTCTTGATTTCCAGGGCAGAGACACATTCCCTAGAGTGTGCTCATCCATCTGAGTTGAGGTTAGAGTTAAGATAAGGACACCATTCTCTAGAGTGCAGAATGTCATTGATTCGACAATTTATTCCATCCTTCTTCTCAGACTACCTTTCTTTTCATTCAAATGCAAGTAGCAGGTATTTATGTGTTTTTTCACAGCTTAGTTTCGCTTGCTCACAGCACTGTGCTGCAGTGGGAATACTACCTTGGCCTTTTGAAGGGACATACATATATATATATACCCAGGTTTTACCGGAAAGCAGGAGAACTCCATCTCCTGGGTTCTGTAGACCCATTTAATCCACAGGAACTCTAGTTGTTACAATCCTGCCTTTGTCCTCTGTAGCTTCAGGGTGGGGTTGACAGAGAAGCCCATTTTGAAACTGGATGTACCCATAGGTTCCTCCCTTATCCAGAAGTGTTCATCCCATTAAAGTTCAGCTACATGCAGGCAGCTGAAGAAGGCTAAATCCTCTCAGACAAAACAGACAACACTTTTCCCTCTGTGCATGTCTTGTCCATGAGGGCAGGTGTAATCATGTGTTTTCATGTAGAACAGACAGATTAGATGGGAATTACCATTCAAAACTAATGAGTCAGGGCTCGAGAGCCAGGAGGCTTAAAGCTAATCAGGTTTAACAATATCACCTGAGTCCCCTTTTGGCATTTCTTTCTGACTGTTTTTAGAGCAATTTTCATTCACCTGCACAGTATTCAAAAGCTTTCCTCTGCAAACATGTCATTTAAAGGAAGAACTCAATCTGTCTTCTAATCTTATGGCTCTGGGAGTTAAGGCTTTAAGGAAAACATCTCACTTTACAAGGGCTAATGATAAACTGATGACACTGGTGGCACCGCAGGAGTCTTGGGGTGGCTGCAATTGGCATCCCTCTCACAAGTGCAATTAGTTAATGGCCTTGGCCATAATGCTTGTTTTGATCAGAGGTTGATTGCTGTGTTTGAAAGCAGGAAGCAAGGGCATAATCCTATTGAATGAATCATAAATAGCCCCCCTTTGTTTTTTTAATAGGTAGGTGGATCAGTTCCAAGAGCTGCATTTTTAGGTATCCCTACATTAGGTTTTTATCTGCTCAATATTTATTCTCATTTTTATTATTAAATCTCTGCTAAACAGGCAGCTATATTCCTGTTGCTTGCCATTTTTAGAATTAAACAGTTCTGTAGTACCACTGGATTGTTAAGCAGTGCTTAAATACAAATTAACAGACTTAGTGTTCACATAGCACTTTTTAAACAGCTCAAAAAGCATTTTCTTAAAGCAGGGATTTTACAGTTTGTTATAGGGGCGAGGGCACTGATTAGCTTTCAAACTTGACTTTTGATATCTTGTATGTTTTGTTGTTGATTCCTTCAGGTTTTCTGCCTCATTTAAGTTCAGCCCTAGTCACTAATGGCCAGAGACTGCAACCGTCTCCCTGTTCGGTGGGTTGCCCATCGTCACAGGCTGGTCTTTGGCTGAGTCCCTAAGCATGTTTTTTACATGACAGTAAACATTACCAAAACTATCCAAATCTAAACCACTTCCCATGGGTTTCCTCACTGCCTTTCTCAGCAGAGGTCAAGCACAGAGCCCTTGGAGACTTCTTGGTCCCCCTGGGATGAGCATCCCAGGACCCGCTCAGGGCCGTGGTGAAAGCTCTCACTCCCACTGCTGACTTCTCAGCACAGAAACATTCAGCAGGTGCTTGAGCCTCTTCTTTTGGCCTTGCCTTGTTTGGTTCCTTCCCATGCAAGGTCAGAATCACTGCCCCGGATCAGGAACAAGGTGAGCAGAGACACCGCCACTTGACCGTAGCACTTGCAGAGAGGGCATTGTCTAGGGAGCCAAGACCTCCTGCTCCCTCATCTGTGCCCAGCGAGTTAAATCCCTCCTGCCCTATGTGTGACACTGTTTGTTTCCTTGTTTACCCTCTTGCAAGCCAGGGCAACTTCCACAAATTTGCTGACAGCAGAATCCCATGGCCACAGTTTTACCTGGGCCAAATTCAGCCTCAGTGCCGTGTGCCCTGGACACAGTTGTCTTGCTTAAAGCCCTAGCAGCCGCTGGGCTTCCCTGGCTTTGATAGGTTTCATTTTGTTAAATTCGACCCCTCTGACTTCCCAATGAAAGCAGATTTTTTTAATAATTTTGTAATGATTTTTTAATAATTTTTCAAATTATTAATAGTTTTAAGTGGGTTTTTTTTCCAGAAATACTTTTAAAGGCAGAGGGGAAAGCAGGGGAGGCTCAGTAAAGCCATAGCGAGTCCTGTCTAATCTGTGCTGCGTCTCTTTGGCTGGAAGAAATCCTTTCCCACTCACACAATTTGTAGCAGTATTAAAACAGCACAAGATTTGCCTTTTTCCCTTTGTAAATTTTAAATCCCATTTGCAAACAAGCTCAGATGAAGCAGCTCTGACTGTTGGGTTTCCTAACGCCTGCCTGGTCCTGCCTCCAGCAGGAGCGGCTGGGCTGGGATATGGCAAATCCCAATGAGCTCTTAAGAGCAGCCACAAGGGCTTCACTTCTGCAAAACACAGCAGAGCTTCAAATTAAATGTGATTTTTGAGATTATTTATGTTCAGTCAAGGGGATGCCAGGAACATTTTCTTCCATGTGGACTTCTTATATTTCAGCTCTTAGTTTCCAAGGAAAATCAAAGCCAGCACAGGGCTTAGGCTACTTGGTGTTAGATGGTGTCACAGTGCAAGGACAGTTTCAGTAGCCAGAGTATGCAGAATTGCAGCAAGGTTTGAGGAGGGCAGTTTTACATTGGTTTCATCACTCGCACAGATCAGCTGCACATGCCATCTGGTAGCAGTTCTCCATTGAATTAGGGGAAAAAAAAGGCAAAGCCCTCCCCAAATTTGAAACATTCACCAATTTTTTGGTATCTTCTGTCATATAAAATCTTAGTTGTGTTTCATTTGAAATAAAATTAGTTGCTCAATTGTTGGCTAATTTGTATTTATTTCTGTTCAAATCTTTTCAGTGACTTAAAGTTTTCTTTAGCTTGGAAAAAAAAGTCATCCTTTTTTTACCACTTGCTTCTTTTTCCATCTTTCTTGTTGGAAAGGAAAAGTGGGAGGTAGCAAGAGCAGCGTTAGAGATTTTTGTATACAGAGCAGAGATAAGATTTCCATCCCCACGCTACAGCAGTTCTGAAAGAATTCCTTTTCCCATTGAAAATTACTTGAATCCACTTAAAAACCTGGGAAAATGCCAGTTTTCAATGCTCCTTAACAGGCAGATGAGCCGGCATTCCTGGGTTTAATCTGAATTTAAATCTGCCCTTAGTTTTTTGTTGGCTTCACCAAATTTCCATGGCCATTCTGAGCACTTGCAGTAAATGCGGGATTGGCAGCGTTCCTGTCTCCCACTTGGAAAGGGCTCTTGCTCTCTTGACAAAAGCTCTCCTCACTGATAGGTGACTTCAGGTGGGAGCACTTTTGGAGGTCAGCACATGAGAGCACTGCACGTACACTGGGGCTGTGGGTATGAGTCAGGTGCCGTCTGGTCCACGGCGCAGATGAGACCCAAGCTAGTGATGAGCTCTCACACACAAGGCTTTGGTTTCCAGAGCACTTCGTCCCAGCCCCACTGGTCCTCCCTGACTGTTGCAATCCATCCTGCGGTTGGGGCTGATGTTGGTCATGCTCAGTGTCACCATGGCTGGCCAGACAGGGGCAGGGCAGATGATGGGGAAGTGATTTTACACAGAGTCATTTTACACACCAGCAATTCCTAACAGCAGGAAGCATTTTTTTCAGGGACCACAGCCAGTGTAACTAGGAGTAGCCTGGTCACTACAGTGCAGCAGTGGGGGTTTGCAGAAGTGAAGGAGCAGACTCCTGGAGCGCAAACCCATCTCTAGAACAGCTATGCTGGGTTTGGAGGTTGCATACAGAGGGAGGCAGTGGTTGCATTAGTGAAGATCCCAGAGTCCCCTTCCTTGCATGCAAAAGAGTTTCATCATCATCATCTTCATCGTGACCATGTGGGCTAGCAGTGGGATTCTGCCATTCCCCTGGGTCACCCCTTCTCCCCCTGGCCCCCAGTGCTGTCCTGTGTCTGGGGCAGATGTAGGACCACCTCCATTATTGGCATGTTTGAGGTAGATGTTAAAAGTGGTGATCGGTTAGCACTGGCCTTGGGGATTTGCCTGTGGTTTCTGCTGTAGTCATGCGTGCTTCGATTTCAGATAAAAGAGCCAAACTGTTTCACTTCTGGTATTTCCAGCCGCGTTTGGATTTATCTGAACGGAACCAGGCATTCCTGCATTTGAGTGTAGCTACCTTTGCCCAAGAGCTGGTACTTACTATTTCTCTTCCCTTCCCTTCCCCCTTTCCTATTTTCTCTTTCTCTAGGTCCAGGCCTGGCCTTCATTGCCTACCCAAAAGCTGTGTCCATGATGCCGCTGCCCACCTTTTGGGCAATCCTTTTTTTTATTATGCTTCTGTTGCTTGGACTGGATAGCCAGGTTAGTACCATGGGTAAGAGATGCTGGCTTATTGTATCATCGGCACTGCTGACTGAGAAGAGCTGGGTTTACAGGCATGAGTTAAGAAGGGAATACTCTGATGCTGCTTAAGGGGAACTCATCTGGGTTGTCTTTAGTGCAGATGAATCATAGGATCCCAGACTGGTTTGGGTTGAAGGGACCTTAAAGCTCATCCAGTCCCAACCCCTGCCACGTGCCACGGGCAGGGACACCTTCCACTAGAGCAGCTTGCTCCAAGCCCCTGTGTCCAACCTGGCCTTGAACACTGCCAGGGATGGGGCAGCCACAGCTTCTCTGGGCACCCTGTGCCAGTGCCTCAGCACCCTCACAGGGAAGAGCTTCTGCCTAAGAAATCTCCTAATCTAAATCTCCCCTCAGCTATATATAAAGTGAATCCATGAACAGTCAGAGCACAAAGCCACAGCCTTTTTTGGTGGTGTTGGCTCAGAGGTGCTGAGCAATGTGGGATCCTGCTGACTTCCACATCAACAGCAGGCATTCCATACCTCCCAACAGGCCAGAAAGCATCTCAGGTTCCAGCTGTACTAATTATATAGCGCACGTTGCTCTTAATTAGTGAGTGTGAAGAAAGCAAAAAGTTCAGTTCAAGAAGTGAGATTATTCTTCCCAGTAGTTGCTTATAGGAACATTGGACTAAATCCTGCCAAAGAACCTGTAAATCATTTCTAGATGGTCCACTTACAAGGAAACATGGGTGAGCAGGGATTATGCAGTAACTACAGATTCAAAACTGCCCAAGTTTTCAGGGCAACAGGCAGCTTCCTGCACTCACATGGAGAGTCACTAAGATAAAAGGATGAAATGTTCATTTAGCCTAAATGCTGTCTTGGATGAGGTGAGATCTGTAAATGAACTTTTACCCAGTTGCTGTGTACTTCATCTCTTCCATTTTTTGTATTCCATTTGCCCTAAATTGCTCTTTAGGGCTTAATACTGGAACTCCAGCAAGCAACTTTCAATCACTCCACAGTAACTGTACAAGTGCCCGATGCCGTGGTTCACCCACCCTGTGCTCATGTAAATGGAAAGCTGGCTGCTAATTTTAAAGAGCTCCTCACTGCGTGGAATGATTAAAACTAATTGGAGCGCTTAATTTCCCTCCTCCACCCTGCTGGGGTTTTTGGAGTGCAGTCAAGCAGGTTTCTGAAATGCCGGAGCAGCTGAAGATCAAATCAGCTCAAAGGAAAGGGTTGCACTGAAAAAGAAAACCAGGTCTATAGCAGTCAAAGAAAGGAGACAGGAAGCAACAGAATGTGGTGGGGTTTTTTGCAGGACAGTCTGTCAAAGAGTGCTACAGGGCACTGTAAGAGCAGTCTAGATACTTGGTAGGAAAACAGCTTTCCTTGAAGTCATGCTATTTGATAGACTCCCCATGATAACCCCTTAGTTATAAGATGTATCCACTGAAAGGGAAGGTCATTCCTACAGAGGTATCCTCAGTTCTCCATGGTATCCTCATGTCTTTGGTGAACTTGGTACTTTTTGAAAGCACAGATCAGCTGCAGGATCCTTTCTTTGGATTTGTGTGGGGAGTTCAGGCGTCCCTTTTCTCCATGGGCGAAATGCATCTGGTTTTCAATTAACTTGAAACTCTCATTCAAATCCAGTTTGGGTTATTTGGTTAACTCAGGTTACACATCCGATGTGTAGCTTTCCAATGGCAAGTAAGTGCAAACACACTTTATATCGAAGCTAGGTAAAGCGAGATTTTTTTAGCTCATGTATTCAGAGGCTTCATTTTTGGTTCACATGTGCAAATAGGTCACTAGATTGATGTGTGAGGAGTGTATGAACAGCTCCATTATTGCTGCAGAAGTCCCCCAGAGCCTCAGTCAGAGGTACTCTGCTCACAGGTTCAGGAAAGACAAGTTCAGTCAAGAAGTGCTGCTATTTCACATCAAAGTTTGCTTTCCCTTAGCTGCATTTTCACTCACAAACCCAAGAGTAGAATTACATCCAATTGTGGAATTAACCTAAGTAGTACCTGTGAGGTTTTCTGGCACAGCAAAAGAAGCTGGGAGTTACTCTGCTAGCTTGGGCTTTTTGGAGTGTTTTCTCTCTGCCTGTTCTCTAGCATACATCTCGTGTTTATCTGGAACAGCTACAACATAAAAGCCACATAAATGCCTTCCTGTCATCAAATTAACTTCCTTTCTCCTTGTGGCTTGCATGTACAGAGCCCCTTTGGTAGTTCAGAAGGCTGCTAGGAAATGAAGAACAGTTCTGAAAGCTTGTTCCAACCTGAAAACTACCCCCACGCTTCAACCTCTGGGTTACAAAGGAATGGCTTCTGCTTTCTTTATTCAGAGCAGCTTTTTGCCCACCATGTGCAGTTAGGGTGTTGCTGTGGAGTCCTTGTTCAGGTATAAGCCCAGATAAACGCATGGTGGGTGATTTTGAAGTCACGTTTCTTTGTTGCTGTTTTCCCCCTTTAGTTTGTTGAAGTTGAAGGACAGATCACGTCATTAGTTGATCTGCACCCATCCTTCCTAAGGAAGGGTTACCGACGGGAAATCTTCATCGCTATAGTATGTTTCCTTAGCTATCTTCTGGGACTAACTATGGTGACTGAGGTAAGCAGCACTCCCTTCCTCTATAACCAGTTTTCTGACCAATTTTAGCTATAAATGAGACTGCACAGAATTAGCCCCTCAGAGGTGCTCTTTAGATGTACAGAGCACCTTTCATCCCTAGATCTGAAAGCCTTTTGAAAGGGAGCTATAGATACTCCCCTTTTCAGATAGAAGAGAGACATGAAATCTCATTCAATTCAATCTGATCTCAGGTCCTAATCAACACAAGTATGAATGTTAACATCTGGCTCTAAAGGATGAAACGCATTGAGAACCTTCCGCAGAGCAGAGTAAGAATCCATCCAGTGCATGCAGGGAAAGAGATTTTTATCTTAGGTACACAGCTTTGAATCAGTTAAATACCACTGGATTTATTCTAGTATAAACAAGATGGGAGCATGTTCCAATGGCTGCACTCTTGTGATGTTTATCTCCAAAATAAAACCCAAGCTAGCTTGGAAAAGCAACTGGAGAAGCACAGCTGTGGGATTTAAACCAGGACCTGTCGAGGTGCCTAACAGACAGGGTTTTTCCAAGTAAAAGTGTGTATATATATATGAATGATTCCCGTGAAGGAAGTCCTTCACTCAGTGAATAAATGCAGACCCTCCTGATGAATTGACTTCCAGTTTTAGTATTTTGGAGGCGTTAATGGTAGGAGGCGACCTATTAATTCCTGACATCATCTGCTTCTATAAATGCCCATCCAGAAATACTTTTAAGAAGGAAAGATTTAAGTGTCTCAGTAGATTAGTACTAAGTGGCTTAGTTCTGTTTAGTCGTCATCTTGTTTGGAATACTTCCTGTAGTAAACATGCCTATTCCCTGGGGAAGGTAATCCCAAATATTTACCTTACCTACTTGCTTGATATTTCTTCTTGTTAGACAGCAATCATTCAGACAGGTTGGTTGATGTTCCTGGGAGCTGGGCCTGGATTATTCATTTTTATTCCCTGTTGGATCCTAATCCACTGCGTCTCTCTTTTACAGGGTGGCATGTATGTTTTTCAACTCTTTGACTACTATGCAGCTAGTGGTGTATGCCTTTTGTGGGTTGCATTCTTTGAATGTATTGCTGTAGCCTGGGTTTATGGTAAGTGAGGATCCTTTCATCTGATACCTTTGGGTGAGTCAGGGACAGCTTTGCTAGCCAAACATTTAATCATCAGCCACCCCTGAATCTTCTTCCCAGCAACAGACACATGCCATTTATATAAACTTATGCTGACCTCTTGGAGGCAAATTTGCATCTGGGATGAAGCCAGCCTCCAGTGTTTTTCCACACAAAAATGGTGTATTTTTCCATTGCTAATTAATAAAGGCGCAATTAAGCATTTGCATGTGTTGAGAGATGAGAGTTGAAAGTGTGGCCAGCTGTGAAAATCTCTGTCTCTCAGAGAATTTCCTTTAGAGCTGCAAGGGGAAAGCCAACCACATAGAAAACACAGACAGAAAGGTGACAGAAACGTGTGTTCTGTCCCATTATTTTTAGGTGATGCTGAGAACCAGGGTACAGTAGCTTGTGTGTGACGGTAGCTGGGAAATGATCAGATGATATTTGCTGCTTAGGGCTGGTCATTTCCCTTATTCTTCATGTACTCATCTCCTTAGACCAGGAGAACAAACAAAGCCTTCCTTTTCAATCAGTCAGATCTCTGCAGAAGCAAGGTGTACTGTTTGCTGTCATCTCCTTAGACCAGGAGAACAAACAAAGCCTTCCTTTTCAATCAGTCAGATCTCTGCAGAAGCAAGGTGTACTGTTTGCTGTCATCTCCTTCTCATGGTGATTCCTTTGGCAAGTTCAATGAGAGGCTGAGGAGAGGAATTCGGGGTGTGATGGGGGCAGGAGGGATTATCATTGCACTCCTGCATCAAATAATAGGGAGTGTAGGATGAGATAGCCCCCCAACCTTCTCAAGGAGAAAACCATCTTGAACTTCCCAGTCGTGGGAAGCATTTGAACAACAGATCTGACATCTGCATTCCCTTTAAACACACCTTGAGAGGAGTGTAGGAAAGCAGCTGTAATTCTGCAATCTTTACACGGATTTTCTGTGCTCAACTCTGATAAATGCGCTCACTACCCATTACAGGCGCTGATAATATTTATGATGCCATTGAGGACATGATTGGATACAGACCTGGTCCCTGGATGAAATGGAGCTGGATTGTGATCACACCAGTTCTTTGTGTGGTGAGTACTGACCGGTGCTCTTTCACACCTTCCTCGTGCCAGCTCTGAGCCACCTCCTACTGCTTCTCTTTCAAGTGAAGGCTGTTGCATTCAGAGACCAATTTGCAAAGAGAGGTGATGCTGGGTTCTCAGATGTTAGCTGTTAACGTGACAGCTCTCTCCTGTGCCTGCTCAAATTGCACTTGCCTACATTGAAGTGGGTTTTTCTTAGGATTGGCAAAGTATTACGTTCCTGACACAGAGAATTCACTCTCCAAAGAGCAGTCCCTACTTTAAGTGATAGGTCCTCAAGGCCGTTTTAACAAAAGGACTTGAGGAGTCTGAGGCAGACACTCAGCTTGAAGTATTTCATTGACTGGGAAGAACATCCTGGTAAGCTCCTTGCAATGTACAGCAAATATTTGAGCCCTGAAAATGAACAGGCAGTACTGCAGCTGTTCAGCACCATCGCTTCACACTCTGTTGTCAAGCAGCAGATGGTGTAAGCAGATGCAGATGCTCTTTCAATAATTCAAATGTAAGAGTAATTCCCCCACTGGTTTAAAACACATATGGTACCCGTCAGCTCTGCCTTTCACTGCCCCTCTTCTTTAGGGCCAGTGGTAGCACCAGAATCCTACTGCTTTCAGCATTTTTTGAGCCTCACTTCATTTTCCTTTCTCATCCACAGGGGTGCTTTATCTTTTCTTTGGCCAAGTACAAACCACTGACCTACAACAAGGTCTACACGTACCCAGACTGGGCAATTGGCCTGGGCTGGGTTCTTGCCCTTTCCTCCATGATCTGCATCCCTATGGTGATGGTCATCCGCATCATACAGTCAGACGGGTCGCTCATTGAGGTAAGAGGAGCCGGTTGTCTGTCCTGAGGAGAAAGGGAGCTTTAACTTGCTGTGTTGTATAGAAAATGAGCACAATGCTTGGAAAACTGCCACCTTGTCCAGGTAGGGCAAAGTTGGCTCTCTGCAGTGAGTGCAAATAAGACTGTTAAAGATCTCCTGTCCTTTGGGCACAGTAGAGACAGAACAAACATGAAGCCTTCTGTCCTCAGACAAACCCCCAGCGATGTTACTTGCGTCCTTCTGCCGTTTCCAGCTGGCAGATCATTGCCTCCACGTGCAGACAAGTGTTGGAGCACTGGGGTGTTTTCGAGTGCCAGCTCTCTTGTCTGCAGCCCTCAGGGACAAGGAAGCACCATCCTGAAAAACACTGAGAAAACAAGAGGCAGACCTGGGTCAAACCTGGCTGTGTAAGAGCTCATTGAATCCCAGGGAAATTCAGATCCCTCTGGTGACTGTGTGACTCTCAGGCATGGCCTTTGCTCTGGGGGGTCTGAATCAAAGTCAAACCCTCCTGCCAATGGGCTTCACTTTTGAGCCTTTTTAATTACTTATTTTGATTCCTGATGAATCAAATCAAACCACTGGATCCAGATTGCTCTGAGCTTTGGAAAACTTCATGTGGGATCCAGGCGTGACAGTGCAGATTCTCTGGGGTTTGGCTTTGCAGGCTATCATTTACCTGTGGCAGCAGAGCTCGGTATGGGTTCCCCCGGCTTGGTTTTCTGCCAGTGGAAAGTTTTTGTACGCTGCGCAAGCAGGAAGCGGAACAATTCTCTTTTAAGGTTTCAGATTAGTTTTGTTTTTGCCTAATGAGATGGTCTTAAATGCAGCCCAGGGTATTCTTGGAGGAGAAAGTGGGACACTTTGGGTTAGGGAAAAAGAACAGAATTGAAAACCCCCAACATTTCCCAGAGCACAAACACTTGCGTTTGTTTTCCTCCAAGTGTTAATGGTCTTTTTCAGCTCTGGCCAGAGCCTGAGTGTTTATTTTCCTGCCTACATTGTCACCATCTATTGAGAGACAAGTCTAAAAGTAGCCAAAACACTCCTCAAAGACTGTGTTAGGAAAAGAAAGTAAACACTGGTCAGATGCCATTTAGTTCTTCCTTTTTGAAGTGAGATGAAGGAGGGAAGTTGCCACTTGGCAACGAATGGCTGGGCTAAAAGGCAGAGCTGTTTCTAAATGAGGATGGAGAAAGCACCAGTGCATCTGAGCAGCAGCTGCAGCCCAGTGTGCAGGATGCTGAATAACGCTATGAATACCCTTTCTTGTCTCACTTGCCTGCCTCAAGTCAAGCTCTGCAGCTGACAAGTTGAATGCAGTGCTCCTTAGTGTGGGTCCCATGGTCCTTGTGGAGCCATGCAGTATATGGTCTGGACTAGATGAGCTCAAGCAGTCCCTTCCAACCCTAATGAACCATCCCCAGCCTTGGATTGCCACGTACTCCATCCTGCCCATGGAGACACAGGGGCCCCCTTCGGTCTTCTCACCTTGGCTTTTCTCCCTTTCTTGCAGAGGATAAAAGCGGTGGCAGCCCCCAAGGAGGTGAATCGGTGGTCCAAAGAAACAGAGAGTGCCACCCCATTCTGCCCCAATGGAACTTCGAATGGCGGATTGATCAAGCCAACTCATATCATTGTGGAAACCATGATGTGAGCTCTCTCTGTGAGAGGAGAAACCTGCTTTAACTGCCGTTTACTAACCATAGATTCTTATAGGACCAGGTTTACAGAGCTTTATATTTGCACTAGGATTTATTTTTATTTCTCACAGAGAAAGTTATTTTTTGTGTGTGGTTTTGTTTTTTTTTTTTTAAAGTTTTGTAAGGTAATCACAGCAGATGCCTCTCTGTAGAGGGAGAGCTTTCATATCAGACTAGACATATTACAGGAATTTACTAGTATTGGGTTTTTTTAAACATATATATCTTTATCTCAAAATACTATACACCTTACCACTTGAATCGATTGTCTTGCCAGCAATACATTCAAGTCTCAGAAAGCAATTTTAGGTGCTGGTATGGTTGGGAGCAGGGTAACCTACAGAACACGCAAAAGGAGCTCTGTTGAGAGATGTACTTAAAGAAAACTAATGCTGTTTGTTTGAAGAGGATTTGTAAAGGTGTAGTATTGCCACCCTCTGGTTCAATTGTGGTAAACGACAGGCTTCAGGGGACACTAGGGAATGTTGCATTTAGCACAGTCCTTGAGTAAAGATAGAGCCGGGCAACTGGAGCAGAGAGTTTGCAAGGGAGGCAGAGAAGTTGGGGGTGAAAAGCCTTAGGGCTGTCCCTTCCCAAGCACGGCGTTGGGACCCTGTCACATAGATGAGAAGGGGACTTTAGGAAGGCGTTTGCAGGATTTAGCATGGTTCATTCTTTGATTTTTATCTTTATTTTGTTTAGGTTTGGGGGTTTTGATTTACTTAAGTGAAATGCCTGCAGTTTGTGCGAGAGCGGGGAGGTTGCTCCTGATGCTGTATGCTCCGAGGTATTTGCTCCTGAGTCTCTACCAAAGCATGTTTTTAGTGTGGTGGCACTGGTGTAAACCTGAATTCTGCAAACCAGGAGGGTTTGAAGCAGCTGCCCTCTGGGTGCTTCAGATGTTCCCTTGTGGACTTTGATTTTGGGCAGGAAAAGGAAAGAATCCCTTCTGGACTCTGACTGTCCAAAGGTGAACACAAACCAAGTCAAACCCAATAGGAGGAACAGAACCACTCACCTACACCGGGTGTAACCAGTGACAGAGTTGTTAATAATAATAGTAATGAAGATAATAATATCACTCAGCAAACAGGTGCTTTTCATCCATGTATCTCAAAAATGCTTTGCCAAGTGTGGGAACCAGGATTTGCTTTATTTATATGGGGTGGGTTGTTACTGTTGGGGGAACAGACAAAAGGACTAAAAGTCCCTTGTCCTATGTTACTAAATAGCAGCAGTGGACCTAGGGCCCCCCGAATCCTTGCCCATCATTGGGTTAAACCATGATTTGTATGATATTTTTGAGGGGTGGGGGTGGTAGACGTATTTATGAGGTTTATGAATCTTACCTGCTGAAGAAACAGGGCTTTCAGGGTTTTAAGTTTAAGCAAAGGGAACATGTAACACTGAAATATTTTGTCTTTGGTCAGAAGGAATTTTGTACTGTTCCAGGTTAGACTGTGGAGTGAAGAGAAACCACTACAAGGAGTGTAGGAATGGGGGTTCTACTTTGTGTGGGCCAGGTGGATGTTTCCATGGGGAATTACTCCATGAAGAATGGCCAAAGTGTGGGCGAAAGCCTTTTTGGGGTTAGTTTTTTTGGGGGATGGGGGTTTTTTCTCTTTAAACTTGATCAGGTTGTGCTGGGAACAGGTTCTCTGGCAAAACTCAGCCTTTTCTTGTGGGCATTCTCATAGAGGGAGAAGGGTTTTTTTCTTCTTATGATACCACAGTTAGGCTTTCCAAAGCTATTTAGTGGAACTGCTTGAGAAAAGCAGAGTTTGTGGCTGCTTATTCTGCTGCCAGCTTAGTCTGTGGGGGCAGAGTTTGTCATTTAAACTGAACATATCCAGTTCTTCACATTCCTACACAGCAGTTCATTCATTTCTTCTTGTCCCGTGGGCTAACCGGCCGCAGCAGCACAAACACTCCTCGGTGAGCTTGTTGGTTTTCTTTTCTCAGAAAAGGGGTGATTTAAAACTTAAGAGATGGACCAAAATAATGTAAAAACAAAAGTGGCTGCATCCGTACCTTTCAAAACCTTGCTAGTTTGAACTTGTACACGTTTTTCCGTCAGATAGCCGAGTTGCAGCAGCAAACCCAGCCGTGGCAGAATTGCTTTTGGTTTCTTTTTCTGGTTGTTGTATGGTGAGAGTTATAAATGAAACATTTCCATAGCTGGAGATGGCGAACATCTCATGGCACCTGATGGGCCAGTGGCAAGAGCCATCCAAAAGTCACTGGAGGAATTCTGTGAGGTAGTGGGTGTCACTTTGTGCCCAAAATAAAGCACACACCATGCATAGAGGTAATTTGGGGTGTTTTCTAATAGCCTTAAACCATCAAAGCCAAGGAAATGTAATCAAACATAACTTTCTTAGTGGGCTTCAGCTTGGACCCTCATTTTTGAGTTACAGTTAGTGTCTGCAGTAAACAGGCACGCTTGCCTGGGTGAAAAGGGAGTACTGTGTTAAGGGGTTTTAACTTAATGGTTTCTGTGAGTGCAGATGAAACACTGATGCTTGATTTTTATTCTTACTTTATTTTATATATATGTTGTCATACAGCTGCGTTTGAGATACAGTTTGCACATCACTTTCATGCTATAGACCTAAGATGAGCTTTTAGTTTGGAAAAGAAAATGGTTTGGCTACATCCAAGAAATCTCCAGAGAGTGGAGGTGGTGTTTGGCCATCTCCACATTGTGGAGATGCTTGATGCATTGTGTCTTTGCTTGAGGAACCAGAGGGCTAATACTACACCTTTCAAAGTACAACTACCAGAACCCAGCCCCCTTTGGGTAGAAACTGTGCCATTCAAATCCGTCGCTTCCATGTACCAAGTGAAAACGTCTCGCACGGATGCAACAACCTCATTAAAGCATTCTCTGTGTCACCATCTCCAGCCCTGCTGTGCTCCTTAGGATGCAGAGGAGGGCTGGGACTCACAAAGAGCTAAGAAATGATGGTTTCTGGAAAACAGCTCCCCTCTCCCCTCTTCCCTCCGACAGTAATATAGTTAATTCTAATTGTTTTCTCTGGGGGTTGAGTTCCGATGAGCACACTCACATTTTTACAGTTTTGGTGGTTTTCCTAACACTTTGATCAGATTTCTGAGCTTTTCTTGGTGATAAATCTGCATTGCAACATGATCCACTGCCAAATTTATTAAAAAACACTTTTTTTACAAAGTCTGTGTTTTCTACCTATTTCTGACTGCAAACAACACTGATTTCCCCCTCCCCCCATTTTATTTGTTTAATCACTTGAGACCTATTTTACCTGTTTTCTGTAAATGAGGAACTCTATATTAAAACGTCATGACTAGTCACAGATGAACTGGTTTGGAGCCAGGGAGTTAATGCACCTTTAGCATGAGATCTTTAGAACCAGCTCCCTGAGTTTAAAACCAGACTGAACCAAGAGGAAAACCCCACACCTTTTCATAATGTACCTTTGTATTCATGGGTTCTTCTGGGCTTGAAAACAGCAGTTTCAGCAGTGTTTATTTCCAGCTGAACTAAAATCCAGAGACAGTAGAAATGTAAAGGGGAATGTCTATCCCACCGGATTCTCCAACCTGTTTCTTACTTTTCTCAATTCTCCAAATGTTTTCAGTTCACCTGTCACTAGTTATGATCTTACTGAATGAGCATCTATTGTAAGGGACTTTACCAGTAGTTTGTATTTCGGTATTTAAGCAGTATGGTTTCATAAGTAGAACTGGTTTTTATTGTTGCTACTGTTCTCATTTCCCTCCTCATCCATAGCTTTCCTTTTCATCTGGTCCAAACAGATCCACACACTTAGATAAGTCCTCTTTAAAGTGTGAGATAGTAGGTCCACAATGGATTTGTTCTTGTGCTCTAAATGAAAACACAAAAGCCTAGGAGCTGTATTGGCCATCTAGAACAATGCTGGCGGTCACCCTGCAGCAGCAGCGCAGCTCCTGGAGTGGAGGGATGTTGGGAATGGCCTGCTGAAGAGGCTCAGCAAAGCTGATTTTCGCTGCTGTTCTTGTGGAGAGGAGGTAAAGAGGAAAGGGGAAAATAAAAAGGACGCAGCCTTACAGTTGCTGTAACACAAAAAAAACCCCAACAACCACCAGCAGAGCCTTTAATGTCACCATCAGGATAGCATCTTCTGCAGTGATTTTCAGTCCTGCGTGCATCCTCCTTTCTCAACTGCAGATACTCCTGGTTCCTCTTCTCTGTCTCAGCATTCAGTAGATCTGAAGACACATGGACATTTCCATTCACTAGGCCTTTTACAAGTCTCCTCTTTCAGTCTGTTTTTATTTGCTCAGGAGACTTCGTACAGTTTCGTTGAGGTCATGCTTGTCACACTTGGGTTCACAGCTCCCGCGTGTTGCATCAATGGCTAACCTCCATCCGTGGGAGAAGGATCGGAACGTTTTTGACTAACTGATGATTAGCTTCCACGTCTCGTGGTCCCTGCCGGATCACTCATGGAGGCTTAATGTATATAAAATGTTAAATAAGCTGTGCATTGAATGGAGTGGACAAGTTAGTTCAGCAGCTCGCGTACACTTGGAAGAAAGATGACCCTGGCATCGTTTCCAAGGAGATTCAATGGAAGTTGCTCACTTTCAGTAAAGAGAAAATAAATCTGTGGTTTAAGTAGATTAATAGATGAATTCTTCCACCCTCGTATGCATGCACACAAGTGGGGACACTGCTGCTATTTTTAGGCTATAGATTGTGTGTTTAAGTCTTGTGGAGCTGTTTAGGATGAGGATTGAGGTTTAGGCACCACTTGCCTGCAAAAAGCCAACCTGCCAGGGTGTCCAAACGGCCTTTCCTAAATTGGAGGTTGTGGAAGACGGAAAGTAGTGACTAAATCCTGGACTGTGCCCCTCCAAGGGAGCCTTAAGGTTGAATGTGAAAATGTTCCTGGCTCCTTGTAAGCGCCACGTGGCTCCTGGTGTGGGAGGCTGGATGTGGTGTGGGATCAGGCAGCTGCCCTGGACTTGTTTTCTCCAAACTCAGCATCCAAAGCCTTGTGGTTAGGATTGACGTGTAGTTGTGTATTTGTGTATTTGCATGAGTAAAGGTCAGGACCTGTCAGACTCTCCAGTAGCTTGTTTTATTTCCTGTAGTCAAAGATAAGCTTAAGAAAGCAAGCATTCAGGTGATTTGGTAACACTTGACACCTAAAAAAACATCACCTAGTGCAAAAGAGGCCCCCTGAGCTCCATGCTTTGGTCACAAAGATTTGCTATTGGTATCAATGGTCAACTTGACTTTATAGGAAAGCTTGCTCAGGAAAGACTTGAGCATAACCAGCCCCAGTCCCAGCTGGAAAACTGCCCAATTCCAACCTTGCATCCCCACCGGATCATGGCTCTTTTCTAGCAGCCCAAAATAAACCTGTACATGGACAATGCTTCTCCACTTAAAAAAGAGAACTAATAATAATTAAAGATCTGAATTTCTGTTCAAAAACAGTAAAAAAATAACTTTTTGTGTTGCTTTTCCAGTTGGCAGTGTGAATTGGTGATTTCAGTTTACCCATGTCCTAAAACCAGAGCGGAAAAAGCTTAAGAGACCATTTGACCACAAAGAAAGAGGCAAGCTCAGCATTTTGCAGGTTGAAAACATTAATAAATCAGCCCGTTCCACCATCTCTATCCATCAGAGGTGGGAATCCTCAGTGATGGGGTCTGCAACTGGAAAAGAGCGTGACCCTGCAGGTATTGCTGGTATTGAAGGGCAGAGCCTTTCTGTACCACTGCTGTGGCTAATTGGAACCAATCAATTAGTGAAGTGTCAGAAATTAATCGCCAGGAGCTTCACAGCTTTAGGAGTAAAGTAAATTAGAGACAAGAGAGAAAGGGGCCATTTGTGGGAGGCTTCCTCCTCATGGGCTTCGAAGTGGGACTGTGGTGCTCACTTCCCCATTTACAGCACAGGGAAACCAGGGCTCAGCTTAAGAGTCACAAATAAGGGGGGGGGGGGGGGGGGAACATAATTAAGTGAAATTTGATTGTGCTAAGAGTTTTGTGTGCGTGCATATGTGGGGAAGGCTTCGGTCCTGTAGCGTAGTACATGTTGGCACGATACGTATTGTTTCTGAATCTGCTTCTGCAGTTGAGATGTTTAAAGATTTCTTTTTTTTTCCAATATATAAGAGAAAAAAAAATAATAATAATAATTAAAAAAAAAAGAGAACAGTGGCAAAATCCTGTTGAGAGACTGAAAATAAGACATAGAAACCTGAGGGGGCAAGTTGAGTGTGTCATCTGCTCCTGTCCTGGAAGCCAGTGATGGTCTCTCAGTGCCGCAGCATCCCAGTACTGTTCTGAAGTGCTCGTTGTTCAATAGGCTGTTGTTTTTATCCCAGTGTAATGTTGTGATTGTTACCTGATGATATTGCCAGGGACTTCACATTGTAAGAGGTGGTCCATCATGTTTGATGTATTTGGCTACAATAAACCAGTGGCGTATTTCTTTCTTATTTCAATTCCTAGCAACTGTGACTACAGTAACGTGATGAGTAGCACATACAGCGAGAAGGCCACAGCAACAACGGCCTCCTCCAAAATGTAATTGAACTTTTTTTAATAAAAAAACCTTAAAAATATTTTTAAAACATTTTAAAACCTTTTTTTTTTCCTTTTTTTCTGTGTGTGTTCCAAAATGGAATATTTGTATTTGAAAAAAAAACAAACCAAACCAATCCTGGAGTGTAATTTAATCCTAAACATCCCCCCCCCAGCCTTTGTGTATATGGTAAATGTTTGTATTTTGCAGTTTCTGTTTTTGCTTTTTAGATAAATAAAATGTATATGGATATTTTTAAGTCATCTTTGCTTTTTTAGATGAGTTTGTAATCACCTTATAACTGAAAATAAAACTTTACTTTATAAACCTGCTACGCATTTGGATGCTTTTTTCCTGGTCTTTTGAGTAGTTCATTTCTCCCATTAAACCTATTTTTTGTTGTGGGGTTGTTGGTTTGGGGTTTTCTTGTCCTTAAATATATATAGATATATATTTGGAGGGGGGGGGGTGTATATATATATACACAATATATACATATGTATACGTGTGTGTGTATGTGTGTGTATATATATATGTGTGTGTATATACATGTGTGTATATATATATATATGTGTGTGTGTGTGTATACACACACAAATATATATGTATGAGCTGCCTCATCTCAGCCCATCCCAAAGTCTGTAGCATCTTGGCTGCATGGCACAACTATGATGGGGCTTGAAACACATTAGTAAAACCCAATAGAAAGAAAGGCAAACCAAACCCCAGTTACTTTCCCGGTTGTTTCAGGCTCAGTGATGCCCTATCAGTCAAAGAGACGAAGGTTAAACCAGAGAGGCCTTTCCTTAAGCTCTGATTTAAGGTAGGCAAAGCCTGCAGCGCCTGGTCTGAGCAGCCTGATAGCAGCACAGACAACAATTGTTGAAACTGTTTTAACTCAGGTTAAAATACATCGTTCAGAAAGTTAAGAATTCAAAATTAATTAATTAGAGTGAAAATAATTCAAAAAGCCATAAATGCCACAAACTGCTGCCAAAGGGTTTCATCTACCTGCCTTGGGCGGCTGTCACCTACCCATGGCTGTACCCAGCTCCCTTGGTCCGTGGGCCCCAAGGTGACACGAGGAGGACAGGGCAGCGCATACCAGAGGAGCAGCACCGTGCTGACCTTGTACCTGGTGCACAGTCACGTTGCATGGGCGCCCGTTCAACCTCGCTTGGCTCCGCACGCCTTTGGCAGGTGCCCGGTGCCAAGCGTGCGAAGGGCTTTGCTCTGAAGCCCGCGCCCCAGGAGGGCGGCCAGAGATGGGAGGATAAAGCTTGTTTACGTGGCAGTGATTCCACAGGTCTAACCAGGAGCGTTTCCATACCATGCTCAGGCATAACCCACTTGGCCATGAAGAGTGCACTCTTCCCTTGCCAGTGAGTGGATATTCCCTATGGCCTTATCCGGGCAGCATCCCAGCCTGCGCTGCCCGTGCTGGGACCATAGGGGTATCCTAAAGCCCTTTGCAAGAGCAAAGGACATTCTCAGTGTAGGGACACAAGGAACTACGCTCACAGCAGTCAAACCTTTGGATGTTTGGTTTCAGAGGTGGGGTCATTTGAGCAACCTGGTCTAGTGGAAGGTGTCCCTGCTTGTTGCAGGGGGTTGGAAATGGATAAACTTCATGTCCCTGCCAGCCCTTCTGTGATTCTATGTTAATCTGGCTACAGCAAATCATCCTCCAGCTGAAAGAGAAAGCCCAAACCAAATGCATTTCATTTGCTTTTATTTAATTAAAAAAAAAGAAAAAGAAAAGAAAGTCAAAGTCATTGCAATCCCATTTAAATACAGAGATTTACAAAGAGGTCCAAAACAGGACTAAAATATTCTTTGAAATGCTGTACTTTTAAATATTGTGCTTTCATAGATACATAAGAAAAATCAGCATATAAAAATACTTTACAAGGAATACACTCTAATATATGGATAAAAATACACATTTAAGTAATGCAGTTCATCTTCATATCATTCAAAATGCATAGGAAGGGATACAAGGACCAAGTTTTTCTTCCTCTTTTTTTCTTTTCTTTTGTTTTTTTTTTTTTTAAAGCCTTTAATAAAAGTCTTCATTAAAAACCTATGAGAGCTTCCACTGCTCAGAATATTGCATATAAAACCACTTTCGGCTGCACTGTCAATGCTCCACAGTATCAATTATGGCACATCATCTAGTAGTGGCAGCAATGGTATGGGATATTGCATACTCCAAGAGAAAATGGCTACAACGACAACTAGCTGGATGGGGCTGGGTACGTGTCTGGAAGAAACACCCTGATACGTTGCATCATAAAGTGCTACTATGTGAAAGGTGGCAGGCGGATGAGGACACCGATGCAGACATCGTGGCCCCTCTTCCCCATAGGGCTGGGGGCTCTTGGGAGGGAACAGGAGAGCGACCATGGGGCATCATGCTTGCAAAGCCACGGGAAGGCCAGCAACAGGCAAAGGGGGGTGGACCAGGGACGAGCAGCCAAATCCATGTGGGCACACAGACAGCCCAAGCCCACACAGGACACGCGATACAA